CAAGGCCCGTTTATTGATTAATCCAAGGGGTTTTTATAGAGAAAGGAGGAAGCAGAGAAAAAGGAGGTGGGGGGAGGGATGAGTTAATTGTTCTCAGGCAGGTATCCGGAATCTCCTGTGTTTATCTCAAGCACTAACTAAGGAAATGGGGGAGGGGATAGGTGTTAGTTGTTTCTCAGGCCAGGTCCAGGAACCTGAGGGGTGGGATGCTAGGCTAGCTAGGCATGGGGGGTCGCCAAGGCTGGCTTCTGACAGTTTTGCAATTGTTCTACTCCCTATATAAAATATATTTTGTCTTTGGGATGCAAGAGAATTTTACTTAATAAATATGTTTATCAAATGCCACTTTTTAATGTAGTCAACACTAGGAATTTTACTTTATGTGCTATATAAACATTACAAACAGTTTCCTTTGTCAAATCCAAAATGTCCCTTCTCAGGAACTTTGCCTCCACATACAGCTCCTGGTAGGAGGGTTAGAAGACATGTGACTTGACCAGTCCAATTCCCTACACATAATACTAGAGCACAGTTGGGTAACTGGCCTAAGATGACCCAGATCTGTGACTTATGACTATGCTGTCTTATCTGAAGATATATTAGAACAGTCAGATTTGGATTCAGAAATTTTATCTAAAAGATACATAAGGAAATTATTAAGAACAATCCAGTGTACCAGAGGTGAAATGGTATTCATACCTTCTGAGATATGTGAGGCATCCAAAAAACAGAGCTACAAAAGGGGAGACCAGAAGACAAGAACATCTGACTTAGAGCATGCTCACCTTCAGTTACTTGGACGCTTGCCCTTCCTGGGAACTACATTTTCTCTATGTTCACAATAAATCTTCACTGTTCTTGAGCTACTGTCTAGGTTTCTGTTTTGTAGAAATCTTGAAAGAAATGGAAAGAAGTTCTAAAGTATTTGAAAGGTTCAGGCATTATGCTTGCCTGCCCCTGTTATCTGGTGGAACAGGCAGTACCCTGGTCAGCCCAAGGTTCCATGAGAACTGCACTCAGGTGCAGAGGACCCCTTTAAAAGACAGGTCCCTGACCATTTACGCTGTTTCCTCTCTGCTTCCTCTCTACTCTCTCTCTCACCTATGCACTCACTCTGTCTCTCTATGGCAACCAGCCATGGCGGTCAGCCATTTACCCCTGTTCCTCTTCTTAGTCTCCCTACTCTACCGGGCCTCATAATAAACTTATAGTCAACATGTCTCATGTCTCAGCATTTCTCTTTACTTCTTTTTAAACAAAAGAATAACAGTATTAACTTACTGTTTTTCTTGTAAAACTTGAGGTAAATTATTTTTCAGCCTGTAGAATTTAAATGAAAAGGATAAAAGTGCCTTTGCCTACCATTTCTTCATTACTGTTTTCCTCCAACAGATGTTTAAATGTGTATGTCAAGTTAGACACAAGATATTCAGTAGTATACCCACAAAAACCTATCCTACCTTTTGAGCATTTGTAATCTAGCAGTGGAAACTGGTATTTGGAAAGCAGAGTATGTGAACAGCTTCTAACCACAAAGTATTATAGAATGTAAAAGAATGGATCTACTTAATAATGATGATCAAGGAGTTGGGCATGGTTGGGAATGCCTTTGATCCCAACACTCAGGAGGTGGAGGCAGGCGGATCTCTAGGAGTTCCAGGCGAGCTCCTGTCTCAAAACAAATGAAACTAGTAAGCAAGAAAAGCTTCTTAAAGGAAGGAACACTTCCCTTTACATAGGAAGCAGTGCAGTTGAAGAGAGAAGACGGACAGACAGGTGGGCCAATGGAATTGAATCAAAGACCCTGATATTAATCCACATACCTATGAACACCTGATTTTTGACAAAGAAGCTAAAGCTATAAAATAAAAAAAGAAAGCATCTTTAATGGTGCTGGCATAACATGTTGGCATGCAGAAGAATTTAAAGAGATCCACATCTATCGCCATGCACAAAACTCAAGTCTAAATGGATCAAAGACCTCAACATAAAACCAACCACACTGAACCTCACTGCAGAGAAAGTGGGAAGTAGCCTTGAACAGATTAGCACAGGAGACTACTTCCTAAATATAACACCAGGAGCAGAGACACTGAGAGCAATAAGTGGGACCTCCTGAAACTGAGAAACAGTTTGCTTCTGTAAAGCAAAGGACATGGTCAACAAGGCAAAACAACAGCCTACAAAATGGGAAAAAGACCTTCACCAACCTCACATCTGACAGAGGACTGATCTCAAAAATATACAAAGAACTCAAGAAATTAGACATCAAAAGATCAAATAATCCAATTATAAAATGGAGTACAGATTTAAACAGAGAACTATCAATGAAAGAATCTCAAATGTTCAAAAGTCACTGAAGGAAATGCTCAACATCCTTAGTCATCAGAGAAATGAGATACCATCAAAACAACTCTGAGATACCATCTTACACTTGTCAGAATAGCCAAGATCAAAAACACTGATGACAGCTTATGCTGGAGAGGATGTGGGGTAAGAGGAACACACCTACAACGCTGGTGGGAGTGCAAATTTGTACAGATGCTTTGGAAATCAGTATGGTAGTATCAGAAGCCAGCCTTGGTCCTTATTTACACAAGCCTGGCGACCCCCCATGCCCAGCTAGCCACCAGACAGTCTAGCATCCCACCCCTCAGGTTGGGGACCTGGCCTGAGAAGCAATTAACACCTATTCCTTCCCCCACTTCCTTAGGTTAGTGCTTGAGATAAACACAGGATATTCTGAATGACTGCCCTGGCCTGAGAGCAATTAACATTCATGCCTCCCCCCACCTCCTTTTTCTCTGCTTCCCCCTTTTTCTTTAAAAAGCCCCTTGGTTTCAATAAAGTCAGACCTAGACAAAAGAAAAACCCTGCTTGGTCTCCTCCTTCTTTCTGGCCCATTATTTTCAGGCTTGATCCACCTTGGACTCACGAATTACCGGAGCCCCGAGGGCCGGGGCATGGTAGTTTCTCAGAAAATTGGGTCTCACTCTACCTCAATACCACTTTTGGGCATATACCCAAAGAATGCATACTCACACCACAAGAAGATCTGCACAATTATGTTCACAGTAGCACTATTAAAAATAGTCAGAACCTGGAAACAACCTATTGAAAGGTTCAGGCATTATGCTGGCCTGCCCCTGTTACCTGATGGAATCCACTCAGGCAATACCCTGGTCAGCCCAAGGTTCCATGGGAAAGAAGTCTGCATGCACGTGCAGAGGACCCCTTTAAAAGATAGGCCCCTGCCCCTTTACTCTCTCTCTCTCTGTTCCTCTATCTCTCTGTTTCTCTGTCCCGCTCTGTTCCTCTGTCCGGCGCTCTGTGCGCTCTCTCTGTCTCTCTAAGGCGACCGGCTATGGTGGTCAGCCATTTACCCTGTTCCTCTTCTTAGTCTCCCCATTCTGCCGGGCCTTATAATAAACTTATAGTCAATATGTCTGTCTCAGCAAATTCTCTTTTCTTCTTTTTAAACAAAAGAATAACACCTATATGCCCCTCAACTGAAGAATGGATAGAGAAAATGTGGTACATTTACACAATGGAGTACTATTCAGCTGTAAGAAACAATGACATCTTGAAATTTGCAGACAAATGGACAGAAATAGAAAAAAAAAAAAAAAAACTATCCTGAGTGAGGTAACCCAGACCCAGAAAGACAAATATAATATGTACTCACTCATAAGTGGATATTAGACATAAAGCAAAGAATAACCAGCATATAGCCCACAACCACAGAGAACCTAGGTAACAAAGAGGGCCCTAAGAGAGACACACATGGATCCACCTAGGAAGTAGAGAAAAAGACAAGCTCTCCTGAGTAAACTGGGAATGTGTGGGGGATGGGAGAGGGTGGAAGCAGAGAGGGGAGGAGGGAAGGGGAATGGGGGGAAATGTATAGCTCAATATAAACAAGGGAAGAAAGAGTGAAGACGGTGATGCAGGTAGAAGAAAAAAAAAACAGCACAAGTATTTTCAAATGAAAAACTTAAAAGCTACAGAACCTAGAAGAGGGCAGGCAGTCTTGAAGCACAGTAAAAAAGACCGACTAGTATCCTGTTGGGAGGAAAGGGAAGGCCATCAGCCAGTGAAAATGTGTCATAGAGTGACAAACACTGCAAGAGGTTTCAGCACAGAAGAACCATAACCTAAAGTGTGTTTTGTAAAGTTTTCCTGGATTTCCCAAAGAATGACAGTATTAAAAAAACAAACAAAAAACAGGGCATGTGGTATTTGTCTATGTCTGGCCTATTTGATTTAACATGATGACTTCCAGTTCCACCCATTTTGTTGAAACCTTGTTATGTGTATACTTTATTTCTCTTACCAATTTATTTGATAGACACATTGGTGATCCCATATCTTAGCTACTATATGTATGTTTGCAATAAAAATGTGCAAATAGAAAAAAAAACTGGAAAAAAAACCCAAAAATGTGCAAATGGGTATTTCTTTAGTGTGCTGATTTCATTTATATATTGAGGAGAATAGCTGAGTCATGTGGAAGTTCTACTTTTAGAATCTTAGAATAGCTTCATACTCTTCTTCATAGTGTCTTAGTTACTGTTCTATTGCTGACCAACTCATAAAAGAAAGCATGATTACAGTTAAAGGGCTAGTCCATTATCATCAATGATGGGAAACAGACAGGCAAGACACTAGGCAAGTAGCTGATTGCTTTACATTCTGATGCACAGGCAGCAGGCAAACAGAGATATAAACTGGGCCTAGAGTAGGCTTTTGAACTTCAAAGCCCACCTCCAGCAACACACTTCCTCCAACAAGGCCACATGTCCTAATTATTCCAAACAATCTATCAATTGGGGACTAAGCATGCAAATATATAGGCTTACAGGAGACATTCTTTTTCAAACCACCATACTTACAACTTGACCAACGATGTATACAAGTTCATTTCCTCCATATTCTGACATTGTTTCTTATAATATTCCTTCTAAATATAGTGGTATAGTATCACTTTTGACATTACTCTGAGGGCAAAAGACACAGGGCATTCTCCCAGTACTGTAAATTAAACAGTCAGCATTTCCCACATTTGGGAAAATTACAGAAGTCAGCACACCCAAAGTGCAATAGTTAAGCCTTACCCTGGGAAAACCACTTTGGTCATCATGGTAACTCCTGCCAGGCAAATGCAGTTTGAAGGTTCTTTATAGCTCTGGGATATTAAGCTATCCCCAGATGAACAGCTACTCAGTTCTTCCTATCCTATCCTATTGTCTTTTTCTCTGTAGGTTATCTCTTCTGTTTTCTGTACCAACTTTTTTTTTTTTTTTAGATTGATACAGGATGTCAATTTTTAATTTTGTATCTTGGACTTACCCAGAGGATTATTGACTATACCAGTATCTTCAATGTTATACCCATGTTTTCTTCTTATACTCTTATAATCTCAGGTTTTATATTATGGCCTCTGATTTACTTTTGAGTTGAGTTTTGTACAGGGAAAGATACAATAGTTTCAGAACCTTTTACTGAAGTGGTTGTCTTTTTTTCAAATAGGTTTTTGGCACCTTTGTTAAAGGACTGCAGTTGTAAAGCTTTATTGGATTCTGGGTTTCATACTGTTTTCTATTGGTCTATGTGTCTGGTCTATGTCTTTGTTATTATGGTTCTTGAAGTAGCTTGAAATCAGGTATTGTCGTACCTACAGTTTTGTTCTCTTTGCTTTTTTTTTTCCTTTTGAGATTTCTTTTCAAAATCTTGATACTCTGATGAAAGCTGAATTGATTCTGTAAGTTTAATAATACCAAATTGTATAATGCATGAATGAGAGATCTTTGAAGTTTTTGTTTTATAATCTTCATTGTAAAGTTATTTTAGTTCTGTATTTAAATTTATTCCTAAGGTGGTGTGTGCATACATGTATGTATGGGGTGCTAACTGTGAAACAGGCTGCTGCCATGATTCAGGAACAAGACTTTAGAGAGAGTGTTTTCATAGTTCTCAAACTTCCACTGGCAAATAAAACTTTAAGCAGCCTATGCAGGTTTACTGTTGTTGTTGATTACACAAAGCACTTATTTTCTATATTCTTGTTCATATACATCAACAACTCTTGAGGGTTTTTAGAAATATTTGTTCTTTCTAGAGTCTTAACTGTCTTTAGATCATCTTATTCTGAAGAGGCTTTTTTATGGAGGGGGAAGGAGGTATTGGGGTTAAATGGGGAGAATGTTATATAATGAATCTATTCAACTCTTGTTAGAAACTCCTTGAAAGGGGAATTACCCTTGGTGCTTTTAAATCAGATAATATGGAACTGTCATTTTCTCATCATTCTTATAAGAAAGGAGGCACTGGAGACATACTATAATTCAAAGGGCCAATGATTTCCTTAAATTTCATGAAATATCAAGTTGCTATATAAAGCTGAATATATCTTATACTTTAAAATTGAACTATCTAGGAAGAGTCAGCTTCAAACACCTGCTGTCAGTTATCTTGTCAAGACTAAGAGAAATGCTGCAGTTTTCCTTACTTCTTTTGGGAAATGGTGAAGGGAAAGGGAGGGAAAGCAAACTTTGGAGAACTACTTGAATTACTAATAGGAAAAGAGAGAAAAAAGAAACTTCTATTAAGGCCACTGGCTAAAATTTTATTTTTACCAAAAAAGTATTTCAATTAGGTGTGTCTAGGGGTGAGATTAAGGAGACTGGTTCACTTAAAAAACTGAGAAGTAATCAAAAGATGGATGAGTAGAGCACAGGACAAAGGAATTTTATAATTAATGGGACATTTAATGCTAAACACTTTGTCACAATCTTATTTGACCTGAGAGATATCTTATTTTACAAATAAAGCTAAAGAGGTTTGCACTGGTTAACTAACATGAGCAAGATATGCAGAAAGGATCAAGATCTTAAGTCTAGTATCTTAACTGTTAACTCATTTTATACTGTCTCTATGTTCCCCTAACAGTGAATCCTTTCAGAATTTTCCCCAGAAAGGTAACTTCTGTTATACAGGCACAAAAGTGACTCTAGGCCCCAGGATTGTGTTACATTTAATTGAGCTGTTGGCCAAAGGGGTCCCATGGGAATCCCCAAACGACCCAGGCTGTTGCCAAGATTATAGGTTGCTCTCCACAAACTAACGACAAGGCCCCATTGCTGAAAACACCTATATAACTCAGTGAATATGGAGAAGTTGAGCTGGTGCCTCCATAGAGCCTTCACGCCTATGCTGTAGTGTCTTTGGTACAGGAAGGTAAACAACAACCCATCCACAAATGCTTTGATCTATACAATACTTTCCTGCCTGAAAGATAAAGTAAAGCAACGGTGGCACTATGCTTACGGGAGTAACCAACCAATATCTGATTTGACTTAAGGCCCACTCCATAAGATGGAACCCATACCCAACACTGATTGGGTGACCAATAACCTGAGACTAGATAGCCCAGGGGCCTAGAGTAATAAAAAAAGTACCAATAAAATGACTCCCAGTGATATTCTCTTTTACTCACAGGTCAGTGTCTTATTAAGCAATCATCAGAGAAGATCCCTCCTGAAGCAGATGGGAACAAATAACAGAGACCCACAGCCAGACATTATGCAAAAAGTTAGAACCCTTGGAGCACTCAAACCTAAATGGGAAGTCTCTATCCTAAGGAAGAGGAGGTGGAAAGAATGTAAGAGCCAGAGGGGATGGAAGATACCAATAAACAAAAGAAACATTGAACTCATAGAGACTGAAGCAGCATGCACAGGGCTTGCGCAGGTTAGCACCAGGTCTTCTATGCATACATTATGGTTTCCAATTTAGTGTTTTTATGTTATTCCTGAGTGTGGGAATGAGTCTCTCTGTACTGTGCCCTCTCTTGATCTATGTTCCTTCTGTGTGTTTTATGGAATTCTCATATGTTAGCTTTTATCTTATCTTACATTATTTTATTATTATTCCTTAGAAGTCCATTTGTTTTCTAATGAATAATAGAAAGAGACTGGATCAGTATGGGAGGGAATTGGGGAGGAACTGGAAGGAGTTAGGGTAAACTGTATTCAGGATATATTATGAGGAAAAAAATCTTTTTTCAAGAAAATGGGAAAAGTTGCTTCAGCTTTTAGATGTAGCCCTGGTCCCTATCGCTATGGAATTTCAGAAGTCAAGTCAATCACTTCAATATCTAAATGAGTTTCATTTTACTGCATTTTTGTGAATTAGAATCTGACCTAGGATTAGCTATCTAAAAACGCAACAAATCTATTTCCTTTGGTTACAAGGAATTCTTATACTGAATAAAACAACTCAAAAGACAATGGCTAGTGTGGTTTAGAATGCATTTGGCAGTATCTACTCATATTGAGCATACATACACTCAAACTGGGAACTTTCTAGGAGTATATCCACAGAAGTGTGTGACAAATTCAGGATCACTCACAGCCATACTTAACAGCCTTAATAGGGAAATAATGCTGAGGGTATCAACAACGAAACAGAAGAACGTAGTGTAGTTACAATGAAGAAAATAAACCATATTTAGATGGAAAAATGTGGATGAATCTTATAAACATGACACGGGATAAAAAGGAAATTATCCAAGAAGTTTGTTGTGTATGATTACATGAAGTACAGAAACATGAAAGACAAAGGTATGGTGCTGAGCATCAGGACAACTTGAGAATGTCCTGAAGCAAGTGTTGAAATGCAGATGAGACGCTGCTTTGTATGATCTTGGTGCTGACTACCTTAGGCACATTCCTTCTATGAGAAAACATCAACTTTTCTTAATTAACATTAATTTTTGTTATACTAATAAAAAGTTATTTCAAAAAGTGAAGCATTTTATTTTTGGTGGGTTAACAGCACAATATTTACACTATAATATTAATGTGCAGGCTTCTTATCCCAAAACAGACATTAAAGCAAAAGATACCCAGCCTACAATCCACAACCACAGAGAAGCTTCAGAAACTGGTGGAAACAAATGCAGAAATCCACAACTACCCAACAGGCCAAGCTCCTGGAGTGCAATCAAAGTGAGGGAGGAGCAATAGTATGAAGAAAGGAGTCAAGACCATGATGGGGAAACCAAAAGAATCAGCTGACCCGAGCTGGTGAGAGATCACTGACTCCAGTCTGACAAATGGGGAACCTGCAAAAGACCAAACTAGACTACCTTAATATAGGTGACAATGGTGCAGCTGAGACAGTATGAGGCCATGGCAGTGGGATCTAAGATCTAACTCTAATGCACAAACTGACTTAGTGGAGCCCATTCTATACGGAGAGATACCTTGCTCAGCCTAGACACATGTGTGCTGGGGGATGGAAAGGTACCTTGGTCCTGCCTCAATGAGATGATGGGACAGACTTAATAAGTAGACTTCCTAGGGGAGCCCTTACCCTCTCTGAGGAGCATATGGGAGGTGGGGGAAGAGTGGGGGGAGCAGGGGAGAGGAGGGAGGAAGGAGGAGGAACTGGGATTGGAATATAAAAAAATAAATTAATAAAACAATTTTAAAAAGAAAAAGACAGACATTACAACAGGGTGTTAAAATGATTTTCCTTTCAAATGTGGGCTAAAACTTTAGAGATAGTGCATTCCTTTTTGTCAGAAGCCAGCCTTGGCGACCCCCCATGCCTAGCTAGCCTAGCATCCCACCCCTCAGGTTCCTGGACCTGGCCTGAGAAGCAACTAACACCTATCCCCTCCCCCATTTCCTTAGTTAGTGCTTGAGATAAACACAGGAGATTCCGGATACCTGCCTGAGAACAATTAACTCATCCCTCCCCCCACCTCCTTTTTCTCTGCTTCCTCCTTTCTCTATAAAAACCCCTTGGATTAATCAATAAACGGGCCTTGACAATGGAATCTGCTTGGTCCCGCTCCTTTCTCGCCCATTATTTGCAGGCGTGATCCACCTCGGACCCACCAATTACCGGAGCCCCGCAGGCCGGGGCACCTTTTAGCATAAGAAGTATATTTCAGAACTCTTTATTTATACCATGTTACCACACAATAGGGAATCTGCACAGACCGCCATACAGTCAGATTTAAGTATTTTAAATAACAATTATTAATAACTAGAAGGTTTTTAAAACTCAAGTTGTAGTGCCAAAATGAGAAAATTATCCCCTTTCTGACAAATTAACTTTGTATTCCCAACTTCAGAATGAAAAAAAGGAATCCA